TTAACGTCATAGGTTTTTTCTGTATACAGTATTAATAGAAAGATAACCAATTTACTATTTTATTGGGTAAGAATTTCATAGTTATCAAGATATTATTTTTTCTCAAGTGAACATTAAAATATAATCGTCACTGCTTCATATATGTAAAGGTTTAATTCTCACAATAATGAATAACCATCATATTATTTTCTTACTCGATATTAAATTCTTGAATTAAGAAATCCAGTCCAGAATTTTAGGTATGTAATAGAAATTTCCTCCTCCTAATAGTAGTAGTAGTAGTAGTAGTAGTAAAGTGGTGGGACCTGGTAACATCGCGAGGGCCACAAATAGGGTACCACCCAAACGCCAGCAAGTCCTTCCTCATCGTGAAGCCAGAACATTATGAACGGTCAAAGGAGGTTTTTGGCGGAAGTGAGGACAAAATAACTAAGGACGGCCAAAGGCATCTAGGCGCAGTAATTGGCACTACGGACTTCAAGACCGAGTACGTAGCGGGAAAGGTGAACGAGTGGGTTAGTGAAATCCAAGCTCTGTCTGAGATTGCTAACACAGAGCCACATGCGGCCTTTGCTGCATTCACCCATGGAGTCAAGCATCGTTGGAACTACCTGATGCGTACTATCCCTGATATCGGGACGACCCCTCCACCCTCTGGAAGAAGTTATCAGTGTCAATTTCATTCCTAAATTAGTGAAACACCCTGACTTAACCCCAGCAGAAAGAGCACTTCTTGCACTTTCATCAAGACTGGGAGGGATGGGACTAACCAATCCAGAGGAGATTGCTGCCACCGAACATCAAAATTCACTTAAGCTCATGGCAGCCCTCACGGACCACATAATAGCCCAGAATGCAACAGGGGAGGTGGATACCAATAAAGTAAATACGATTCGTACGGTCAATTACGACAAATCGACAGCACTGCCAAAATGATAGGTTACAGCAACTGTTGCTGCAGGTACCAGAAAATTTGAAAACAAAAGTAGCTATAGCACAGGAGGTGGGCACCTCAAACTGGTTAACTACGTTACCGATAAGAGCAAATGGTTTCAGTCTTAATAAACAAGAATTTACAGATGCCATTGCTCTAAGGTACGGTCGGCCAGTAGAAGGTTTGCCCTCCCAATGCGTGTGTGGCTCTTCCTATGATGGCGATCACGCCATGATGTGCAAGAAAAGGGGCTTCATATGCATGAGGCATGACGAGGTAAGGGACCTCACCGCAAATATGTTGAAGGAAATCTGCCGGGATGTCATGGTAGAACCGACCCTCCTTCCATTGGATGGTGAGACCTTCCAACACAGGACTTCAAACACATCTAACGAAGCCCGTGTGAACGTCAGTGCTCGAGGATTCTGGACGCGGGGACAGCAAGCATTCTTCGACATCAGGATTTTTGATCCCATGGCCGCATGTCACCGTAACCTAGCTCTCGATGCTGCACATAGGAGGAACGAGAACGACAAGAGAAGGGCGTATGGGGAGAGAATTCAAAACGTTGATCAAGGCAGCTTCACTCCTCTGGTGTTCACAACCTCTGGTGGGATGGGACCAAGTGCAAGATGTTTCTACGCCAGACACGCGGAGGTGATCTCCGAACAGAAGCAGCAGCCCAGAAGTTACGTTACAGCCTGGATGAGATGTCGACTGTCTTTCTCTCTCCTTCGGTCAGCTTTGCTCTGCCTCAGGGGAACGAGAGCTTCTGCCCCAATTCCGACAACTGCTGCAGATATTGACTATGAGGCTACAGTCACTGAATGCCGCATAGATCTGCGGCTCAACTAATTCAACACAGAGAGGATAGCTTCTTATGTATTTGGATATTTAATATTAAGGTAATAAAATGGTGGCGAAGGTGTGGCTATTGGGGAAGGCTGGAGGCCACGTTTTAGAGAGAAAAAAAAGCAGTAGTAGTAGCAATAGTAGTAATACCAGTGGTGGTCGTAGTGGAGTAGTAGCAATTGTGATACTAGTACTGGAAGTAGTAGTAGTCGTGGTATAATGAGAAAAAAGTTGCAGGACAATTAGTAATACAAGTACAGTGCTGTTGTAATAGTAGTAGTACTCGTAGTAGTGGTGGTACTAATAGTAGTAGTAGTAATAGTTGTAGTAGTAGTAATAGTTGTAGTAGTAGTAGTAGTAGTAGTAGTAATCGCATCAGAAGTAGTAGTAGTTGTTGTTGTTGTTGTTGTAATAATAGTAAACTTATCAGAAGTAGTCAAGCATCGCTGGAACTACCTGATGCGCACTATCCCTGATATCGGACCTCTCCTCCACCCCCTGGAAGAAGCTATCAGCGTCAATTTCATTCCCAAATTAGTGGAACATCTTCACTTAGCCCCAACCGAAAGATCACTCCTCACTCCTTGCACTACCACCGAGACTGGGAGAAATGGGATTGACCAATCCAGAGGAGATTGCTACCACCGAACATCAAAACTCAGTTAAGCTCACGGCAGCCCTCACTGACCACATACTTGTAATAGCTCAGAACGCAACAGACGAGTTGGATACCAGCGAAGTAAACAAGATTCGACTGTCCATTACGACAGAAAGGCCAAAGTGATAAGTTGAAGCAACTGATGCCGCAAATACCAGAGAATTTGAAACAAAAAAGTAGTTATAGTGCAGGGAGGTGGGCGCCTCAAACTGGTTAACTATGTTACCGATAAGGGCAAATGGTTTCAGTCTCAATAAACAAGAATTTACAGATACCATTGCTCTAAGGTAAGGTAGGCCAGTAGAAGATTTGCCCTCTCAATGCGAACTTGACTCTTCCTATGACGTCGATAACGCCATGGTGTGCAAGAAAGGGGGCTTCATATGCATGAGGCATAACGAAGTAAGGGATCTCACAGCAAATATGTTGAAGGAAATCTGCCATGATGTCAGGGTAGAACCGACCTTCCTTCCATTGGACGGTGAGAATTTCCAACATAGGACTTCAATCACATCCAACGAAGCCCGTGTTGACGTCAGTGCTCGAGGATTCTGGACGCGGGGACAGCAAGCCTTCTTCGACATCAGGATTTTTTTATCTCATTTCCGCATGTCACCGTAACTTAGCTCTCGATGTTGAACACAGGAGGAACAAGAACGACAAGATAAGGGCATATGGGGAGAGATATTCAAAACGTAATTCAAGGCAGCTTCACTCCTCTGGTGTTCACAACCTCTAGTCAATAGTCTAGTGGGATGGGACCAAGTGCCAGATGCATCTACTCCAGACTCGCGGAGGTGCCATCCGAACAGAAGCAGCAGTCCAGAAGTTATGTTACAGCCTGGATGAGATGTCGACTGTCCTCTCTCCTTAGGTCTGCTTTGCTCTGCCTCAGGGGAACGAGAGCATGGGCCCCAAAGCCGACAACAGTTGCAGATATTGACTATGAGGCAACAGTCACCGAATGCCTCATAGATCTGCAGGTCAACTAACTCAACACAGCTAGGGTTGCTACTGATGTATTAGGATAGTTAATATTAAGGTAATAAAATGCGGCGAAGGTGTGGCTATTAGGGGAGGCTGGAGGCCACGTAGTATAGTAGTAGTAATAGTAATCGTGTCAGAAGTAGTAGCAATAGTAATCGTATCAGAAGTAGTAGTAGTTTTCGTAGTAATAGTATTCGTATAGGTAGTAGTAGTAGTAATGAGATAAATTAATCAGGATCGTAGTAGCATGACTAGAGGGGCGATGATTATTATAATACTTTTACCACAGTAGAAACTGGATCAATATGAAGATGCGACAGATGAACTTTCAATAACAATAGTAGCTTAGTTGTCTACTTAAGAGATAGTACGTGGCTTGAATGTTCCACACCATCTGCAGTTTCTAGCTAACAGTCAAATTATGTGATTGTGTTGTTATTGGTGTATATTATCATGAGGAGCCTTAACTTGTCAACCTGCATTGATGACTATTGTCACACCGAGTAATGCAGTTTTATTTTCTACATCTGTTGTTGGTTGTTCCTTCATTATCTATATATACTGTATATAGTATAATACGTCAGCTACATGCATTACCGACGTGGGCCGGCTCGCTGTAGCGTCATTTTATTTTTATTTTTAGCTTTAATTAATGTTTCGGGATAGAGGTGTATGTATAGTACTGTTTATGCAAGTAAATCACTGTAGGTGCGCGTGATCTAGGTATATGCTGATAACCACAAGGAAAGAAAAAAACACGAAGTTCCCCAGCGCTTTCGTGTAATTCACATCTTCAGGGGTGAGTACAGACTAAGGAGAAGTACAAAACAAGAGGAGGGTGAGATCAGGTCATTACCTAATACCTGACCATTGTGGACCTGATCTCACCCTCCTCTGTATATATACACCTTGTTTTGTACTTCTCCTTGGTCTGTACTCACCCCTGAAGATGTGAATTACACGAAAGCGCTGGGGAACTTCGTGTTTTCTTCTTTCCTTGTGGTTATCAGCATATAGTACTGTACGTATATATATATACGTATATATATATATATATATATATATATATATATATATATATATATATATATATATATATATATATATATATATATATATATATATATATATATATATATATATATATATATATACACACGTTTTAATCCTGTTTGAAATAAAACTTAATATAATATTAAATAAATTGGGTCTATTTTCTTCCCCCTTGCCAAGTAATAATTATGAGACGACATATAAATACTTGACCTCTCATGT